TATGTTTCTCTTATTGGTTGATGAATAAAGCTGTTTCCACCAATGGACAAGCAGGATCTAGTCTGGCAGGAAATCAAACAGGGATAGAGAAAGGTAGTAGGTGGAGTCAGGGAGACACCATGTAGCTACCAGGAAGGTAGGATGCCTAGGCATTCTCCAATAAGCCAAGACCATGTAGACATACATAGATTAATAGAAATGGGTTAATAATTAAGAGAGAGCTAGCCAATAAAAAGCCTTAGCCATCAACTAAACACTTTATAATTAATATAAGCCTCTGTGTGTTTATTTGGGACTAAACAGCTGCAGGACTGGGCAGGACAGAAACTTCCATCAACATGAGGCATACCACAGGCACCAGCCACATCTGCAGGCTAAAACAGCTCCTCTCTGGTCCTTGCTGGCCCTCTTTGCATGTGCCGTGGGTGGTTTGTTACAATCACTGTGACCAAAGCACCCAGCTATAGAGTAGCATAAAGGAAAAAGAACTGACCCCTGTCTGTGGGCTCCTCATTCCAAAGGAGTAGCCAGGCTCAGGGGTGGCTGCATCCCTTGGCCATTCAGGAGCCTGTGCGTGAGGCCATTTGTGTGGTCCCAGTGTCACCATCAGAGACCACAGCGCAGCCTAGACCTGAAGCACACATCTGAGGGCCGCTCAGCCACGGTGGAAGGAGCTGCCCCCAGAGGACAGCCACAGCAACTGGGACTCCTCTCCAGGTGGCACAGAATGCCAGACCAAAGAGGGAATTTAGGTTCCTTTTTAGCCATTTTGGTCTATCTAGTCATGTCTCAGACCTGTGACAGGGGCTGTGTCCTTTCAGCCTTCACCCCTGCCAGATTAGATGACCCATTCACTTTCCCAAAAAGTGCCATTCTGGTGTCAATTCCCATGCCACTCGGTATCACGGGTATCTTGGCCTTCTTTTCCTGTTGCCATACTAAGCTATTCTGAGAAAAGGCAACTTAAGGGAGAAAGGACTCATTTCAGCCCACAGTCCCAGGGTACAGTCCATCACGGCAGGGCAACCAAGACAGCAGGAGCTTGAAGCAGCTGCTCCTATCACATCCACAACCAGGAAGCGGAGAGCAATGAATGTGTACTGCTGCTAAACTCCACTTCTCCACTTACACAGCCAGGACCCCAGTGAGCAGGTCCTCCTCCCACTTCAGTTAACCCAAGATAATCCCTCGCGGGTATGCCCACATGCCTGTCACATGGCAGATCCTATCAGGTTAAAAATTAACACTAAACCAACACAGCTGGCAAACAGAAGTTAATTATCTCAGCAGACACTGGGTAGCAGAAATCATGCATTGAATGTCAGAGGACCTGGATGGGTATGTGTCTCACAGAAGGGCTGCCCAGCATAGCCAGGATACATGATGCCCTTGCCACTCTGTGAGCTACGCTTTGCCTGGTTGTGCTCTACCTGTCCTCTACCTGTCTAGGAAGCTGTGGTAGAAGGGCAGAAACCTATGCCTGCCTGTTGTTTCTCATCCCTCCCTCCTGCTTCCGGGACAGACAGAGGTCATATGGGTAAGGAGTCAGGCACCAGCAGCAGCAAGGAAGTCTTCCTATTATTATAATTACCCTAAGCTCCAGGTGGACGGAAGCAGCTGGGGAGACGTATACTGAAGAAGTGGCCGTTTAGCAGCATCTCCTGCTGAGTGGTGTCAGTCCCCAGCCACAGTCAGCTCACAGGGAGCTTGCAGCATGATGGGCACCCAGGCTGTGCTCCCACCTGACAGGTACCTGGCTACACCATCACCAGTCCCTCTGGGAGATACCCAGTCAAGGTGCACATGCATGGGAGGGGGGATGTTGCCATCAGCCAAGGTGTACAGCTGGACCAAACCAAAAGGCCCTCCTCTGGAGCCTTGGGAGGGCGTGGCCTGTGTCACCAGGATCTCAGATACCCGAAGAGAACACTTTCTGTCGTCTGTCACTCTGTGCTTCTAGCCTTCTGGCCACTTACTGTAGTGGCCTGAGTGAGCCGCTGTGTGCGGGCTGTAGCCCACCTTGCTAGACTGTGCAGAGGAATGCCATGCTCAGCTAGCCTAAATCTGATACTTGGTCAAGCATGCTGTTGCTACCATTACAAGGATGTCACCCTCAGCAGCACTCACTATAGGCACAGATTCAGGGCCTTTCTGGACCTTCTCTCTGGGGATTCCAGACAAGCCTCAGCACATGGCAGTGCATGGATGGAAGGCAAGCCAGAACATGACCACACTGAGATGCTCGTGCTGATGACAGAATGCCAGCTTCATCCTCATGGGTCTCCAGCAAAGTCCTCTGTGGAGGAGTCCAGAGCATGCATGCATACACAAAGAGCTCTGTCTATGGAGGAGTCCAGGGCATGAACATATACACAAAGAGCTCTCTCAAGGACTCGCCTACCCCTGAAACAAGGTCCCCCCACTTGACTACTCGACACTCACAAATGTGCCAATTATCAAATGTCTCTTCCTTGTCCATCAATGAAAAGACTGGATATGACAAGGTGGTCCCATCACACGGGCTTGTCTTGGGTAATTGTCCACTGGGTGGGCCTTGGGAAGCTCTATCTGTCCTCCCCATCAACTCTCACCCACAGGAGAAAGGAATGGGAACACTGGACAGACCTCAAGTGGTTTCTCTTGGCCGTCCTCCCTTGCTCTATAAGTCCCCCTGCTAGAGGCAGGCATGAGAAGACTGGTACTTTGGTAGAGCATGGCCACAAGCTATAACTGCTCTCCTGGAAATCTGACTTCCTCTCATTGTGCATGCCTGTGTACATGCAAGCACACATACACTCACAGTAGCATGTACATGTACACATTTTCACATGTGTGCCTGTATGCATGCAGACAGGCACACAGAAGCACATACACACACTCATATACATATATATTTGTACATGTATGCACACCTGTACATAGCACACACATCTACAAACACACATGCATCAGCATGAAGGTATACACACTTATGTGTGCACACTCATAAAAGCATATGTGGGTATATACCACACATCTAAGTACAAACTCATGCTCACAACTCCACTCCCATCACCCACACAAGGCAGGCTCACCCCTAGAGCCTAGCAGGTGGTGCCTAGGGTAGTGTAGACTGAGGGACTTGGTGACAAGTCCTCAAGAACAAGAAAGAAGAGTTCCTGGCCTGGAAGTAGCACCTCCGGGCAGTCCCACTGAAGGCAGGGTCCAGGGTCCACAGCCATGGATGACTGCAGCCACCCTGAGAAACCACAGTGCTTGATTCAATCCCCAGAACCTTCTTCCGTTTTGGTGCACCTTTATCCCTGCCTCCTCCTGGGATCCCCTTCTGGATAGGGTCCTCTCTGTCCCTGAGGCTGGTTCCCACCCTCTCCCTCCCTCAGAAGGCGCTGGCCACCCTGAATTGAGATGCTCAACCTCAGGTTTACTGCCTGTCTGTGTTTCTGCATTCAGAGCACAGCTCCCCTCCCCCATCGGTCCTGCCCCCACCAGCCCCATAAGGATCGTAAGGACCGTGTGCGCGTTGGAGACTTAATAAACATTGTCACGTCAAGAACTGAACAAGGACACACTCACACTCGTCACAAATCTACATGGCTGCTTCTGACCAGGGCAACTCGAGGGAGGGTGCCCACCAGCTCACGCCCAGTCTCACCCAGCTTGCAGGGCAGGCTTGATGCAAGGTTCACTTCCCAGAGTGGAGACAAGCACCACCCTGATCCTGCACACCCCGCCAAGCAGAAAGACCCTTGGTTGCACCTTACCGGGCCTCCAGCCTCCTCTCTTTGCAGCTGCTGCTCCCTTCCCTCCCCCAACCTCATCCCTCATCAGAAGACACCCCCCCCCCAGGACTCAGTTTGTGGACACAGAAGCTGAGGTTCCTCCAGTCACAGTGGAGAGTGACCTAAAAACACACATCCCCGGCTCTGTTCTGTGCCTTGTCAGCTACACCCCACTGGCTCTGCCTCAGGAATCGAGGCTCTGACATTTTGCTTGCACAGATAATTCTCAGAAAACCACCCCATCCTTTGTCCCCATGGTCTCTCTAACTCTACAAAGCTGCACTTTAGAACCAAGGAGGTGGCCTCTGCCTGGAGCTACACAGAAAGCAGGTTCTGGGGTCGAACCCTTTGAGAGGCCTCAAGCCTCACCCGCTTCCCACAGGAGGCATCGACAGCCTGTGGAGACACGTGAATTATTCACATCCTCCTGCAGTTTGTAGCTGTGTCCATGACGTCAGCACTGACTGTACCATTTCCTTCCCCACCACCTGCCTCACAACCCAGCCCTGACCTCCACAACGCCCATGATGGTTAATTAAACAGTTGGCAGATTGCCCACTTGGGCATCGGATGATAACTATGCGAGCAGACCTGACATAATTCAGATCTAATCCAAGGAAATGGATTTGACTTTGGGTGCCTCCTTACCCACTCCTTGAGGCCTGGAGCCTTCAGGGAGCTAGCTGTCTTGGATGTGGCTAGAAAGCAGGCCAAACTCCTCCCAGCTCTTCCTGTGATAATACTGAGCCAGTGTCAGTGAGCGTGGTCAGAGAGGGCAGGTGTCCTGAGTTATGAGTGGGTGGGTCAGGCCCCCACACGACTCAAGGTTTAGCTTGCTCTGAGGAAGATGCCTGGAGCCCAGCTGGGCATCTGTGGGGTGCTTCGGTGACATAGCAGGGGTCCCCATTTCTGGGTCAGAACAGCTATCTCCACCTGCCTTGGGACTCCTAGTAGCAGACAAAAGTCTCACCAGTGGAATGATTACAAGACTGATTCAAGCTCAGGCTGCAAGTCTCCCTATTCCCTCCTTACTCTGACAGGACCCCAGCGGCTGTTTCCCTGAAATAAACATTTCACTTGAAGCCCGGCTGGCACCAAGCAGCACAATCCGCCAACAGCCTGAGTCCCAGCTTGGCGGCCAGCAAGAACAGGATCTTCTCAAATAAAGCCGTGTTTGTTTTTAATTATTGAATTAACTACCGACATCTTTGCTCAACTCACCGGGCTCCAGGGGAAATTAGCACGGAAACGAGTTGTGGAGACTGGGGGTCTGTGTTTCTCTGTGGAGTTGCCTCACCACCTGGCCCCCTCTAGGCCCCTCACAGCGATCCTGTGGCTACAGTCAGCATAGTCTCAGCATCCACTGTCTGGGGAGGTCACAGGGTCAGCCCTGCCAAGCTGTGAAGGGGCAAGATGGGTTCTCAGGGCACCCAAGGGAACCTCAGCTCCGGCTGGTCCTGCTGAAACACATCATGGTTATATTGACTGCAGAACCACAGGGACGCACAGCCTGAATCACCTGACCACTCAGTGAGAGTTTGGACACTCCCATCCCAATCTTCCCACACACGCAGGAGTGCCACACTGATGTCCATCACGCTGCCTGACACCCCTACCAGGGTCCACCCGGGGGAGTCCAGTGTGGGGACCACAGACCCCCTCCCTGTGGGGACAAACCCGAGCACTTCCCCAAGCCATCTGCTTTAGGAGGACGCCATCTGGCAGGAGTCCTGACGAGGGGCCACTGGCTACCTAGTAGGCAGACAGCTGCCAGACTGCAGAGGGACCAAAGAATATTAGGGGCCTTGTCTACACCTCCATAGAAACCATGGTTTCCTTCGAGACACAGGGGCAATTAGGGATCCAATGGGATACCAAAGATAACATGAAGGTTAGGTCAGGGCATATAACTGATCTGTGGACTCCTGGGAGACCCCAAAAATAGACGGAATACCTGTGACTAGACTTGAGGACCGACAGGAGAAGATGGAGGCCAGGCTTGAGTCTTCCTATGGGAGCAGATGGGCCCAGGGGAGAGAATCAAAGACCTGAGGAGATTTGGAGCAAGGGAAAGGGATGGAAGATTGGCTCGGAAACCAAGATTGGTCTCTGGGCTAACGGATGTGGAAAAAGACTGGCCCTCAGAAATGGAGGGCATGGTGAATGATGAGTAGGGCCTAGCCTCCTATCCTCAACCTCAAAGGCTGGCCTGGGCTGGTTTCCATCATCTAACGACCTGTGGCCTCAAATGTGTTGCCCCAGGGGCTAAGATGGCTTAGTTAGTAAAGTACTTGCCTGGCAAGCATGATGTACTTGAGTTCGATCCCTAGAGCCCACATAAGAGAGCCAGATGTGGTGGCACACCTGTAATCTCAGTGCTAAGGCAGAGTCCTGGGCTTGCTGCTCAGTCTACTTAGTAAATGCCAAGATGGCTGGCACCTGAGGAATGGCACTCAAAGATATCCTCTGGCCTATGCGTGCACACACACACACACACACACACACACACACACACACTTGAGCCAAATATGAACATGTACACACACACAGAAGATGGTGCCCCAGCACAGTACCAGACACCTTGGTGGCCTGCATGTCTCTGCTCACCAAAGACAGACCTAGCTCCAGTATTGCCTGATACGGGCCTGTGTCCAGGGCCTGGGGTTGCCTAAGAGAAGGTTCAGCTAGGAGCAGTTAAGCCTCCGTGACACTTGTTCCATCTGAAGGAATTTGAGACTGTGACAGTGAAGACCCTGCTTCTGGGTATAGTGTGTGGAGGCCAGGGGGCACCAGGAAACACCTGACAATGCTCAGGTCAGCTCCGATGGTGGATTATCCAACTCAAAACATCCAAAGTACCACGGTCAGGACACCTTCAGTAGAGCAGAGGGAGGAAGTGGCTCTCAAGAGGCCCAGAAGCAGCACTCCTCTGCAGAGTCACAGTACCTGCTGCGCGACGGTTCAGTGTGGGAGGGTCCTCCCTGGGCACATACATGGTCCACTGGGGGAAAGCTCACCTGTGAGCAATGGCCTCTGACCAACAAGCAATGGGTTAGAAACTTGAGACCGTAGCACCTGTGGTGCCCAGTGTGAATGCCCAAGACCAGTGGTCTGAAGGCACAAAGGTGTCTCCACTATCTTACCAGCATATATACACAAGTGCATACATATGCACACACCACAGACACACAGAGGCATGCACACATATGTACCCCTCCGGCCCACATACACATATATCCATCACACACACATGTACCCATCACACATACAGGCATGCACGTACCTGGACCCATCACATGCACTCACATGGATGTCTGCACACAGCCACATGTGCCACACATATGCACACTTGCTGCATAATATACATGTGTGTCATGCACATGTGTTTAAACATGTGCTTACACGTGGCGCATAGCATGTTCACGTGTTTCTCTGTGCACCAGAGTGCATTTTCATGCACACATGCAAGCAAGCAACACATGTACCCACACATGCACTGTATATACAGGCCCCTGAAGACACGTCCTCGCGCACGTACCTATCACACATGCACATAGCATAGACACATACACACACATCATATACCCAGTATACACATACACACAGGGCTCACACAGTCACACAGGCCATACGCACACTTCTTGTTATAAGGCATTGTGCTCATCCTCTGCCCGCCTCCCAGTTCATTCACCTGTGGAGGAAAAAAAATGAGTCCTGATTAAGATGTCTTGGCAGAGTGCAACATCGCAGCTCCCATGACTCTTCAGTGGGGCCCTGGAGCTTCCACAAGCCTTTAGTATTCTGTGTGTTCTGCTCCCCGCACACCCCACCCTCCCCAGCTGAGTCACATCCTTTTCATCCCTAATATCATTGCTCACATCCTTACAGAGTGGCGGCGGGCAGCCGCTGTCCTTCTGAGACCGAGGTTTTACAAGAATGAATACCAACAACAGGCTTGGGTATTTACAGCCCAGACCCAAGGTAACCGCCTGGGGACTCGGCAGCTTTTATCGTAGAGGGTGAGCAGCGTACCTCCCACTTCCAGAAAACCTTCCGAAATGAGGCTTCTTGACCGCCCAGCACAGGCTCTGCTCAAAGCTTCCTTCCTCCTTAGATGGCTCTTTGGGATACTTTTTTACCCATCTTGATCGCTGTATGCTCGTGGGACTATAAGGCCTTCCAGAATGCATATGCTGATCCCTCCATTCCCGCGCTTGCCTCGGAGAGGGCAACTTGAGAACAAGGGAGGTCTCCAGGCGTCAGAGGTCTCCCAGCGGGGGCATCTCCAAGGCCTGGCAGGATTCACAGGTGTGCATGCCTCCTGAATCTAATCATGCTCTCTCCTGATTTGGGCCTTGTTCCCCGTGTTGAGAACTGTTCTGGGTGGGAAGCCACCCTTGCTCATGAAGAAGGACCCAGAGTCCAGGATGAGAAAGCTCCTCTTCCAAGAGACTAGGTTGGGCCCCAAGTTGCAGGAGACTCCTCATAGGCTCTTTCAGCTTCCCGACCTCGCCCCACTGCCCAGCCTGTGTTCCAGACTAAATCACCCACTAAATTCCCATGTAGCCTTGGCCGTAGGCTTGCCTTTTCATCCCTGCTCTGAGCTCCAGAAAAAAAAAATGTCTTCGGTATATGAATAATGTATTGAAAACTCAGGCAGAGCAATCATAGGCCATGAATAATTGCAAGGTACAGGCACATTAGTTAGCTGTACAATCCGCTTACAGACCAAACCAACCATCTTATTAAGGCAGGGCCCAGCTCCTGGCTTGCCAGCAGCTTGTGTTCTCAGACTCAGGGATGTTCAGAGAACCCTACTCTGTGCAGCTGGGAGCCCCAAACCGGGAGCCAGTCTAACACTGTGGTATCTGCTGCTCTCCTGAAGGGTCCCCCTCAGCGCCTCCCCGTTTCTTAATTAATGGAGACTTGAAATTAGCGCACAAGCGATAACGCAGTTTCATCGGGCATTCCTACGTGTTCTGGGAGACACTTCATTCTGAGCTGTTTTTGCCCTTATCCCAGTGAACACACAAGCAGAGTGACTTGGTGGCATCTGGGGAAATGATTTGCTAAGGAAACGTCAACCTTGACCCAGAGCCCTTTCTTAAACAACCCCATTTAGCGAGCCTGTTGCTTGAAGTGGCTCTGGAGGCCACCCTCTGTTTCAAGGTTCAGATGGCTCGGAAATGGAGACCTCAGCAGCTGCTGCTTCAGGGGCACTTGGGCTGCCTTCTGTGGACTGCCCTGTCACCACACATCCTGTCATCCTAATTCCCAACTAGTTTCTTTGCACGACTCACCTCGCTCTTGGTGAGGATTTCACCAGAGGCTATTAGCCAAACCCCCATTTTTACCTAGGAAAACAGTTAGCCAGGGGCCCAAGCAGCCTGCCAGGATGCCAAGCTATCGAGAGAAGCAGAAATGAGGCACCCCTACCCACACCCCAGCACCTGTCCTAAGCCTTGACATATTGTGGGACCCACACTGCAGCGGGGGCGGTTGACAAGGCAGGCTTCAGTTGCAGACAGCGTATGTCATCTGTCCCTGGGTGTGGCAGTGGAGACAAAGGTGAATGCTAGGTGCCCAGCCATCTGTCAGTCCTCCTTGGGGCATGAATCTTGCCTTGAGGAGCCCATGGCACAATGAGAACCTTCCTATGGATAGGTTCTCCCCCCTTGAAGAGCAACCCTGTCTCACTGTGTCCTCAGGGCCAAGTGTCCTCAGGGCTGACCCCATGCCACCAGACCAAAAGAATGCGGACGTTACTGCAGGAAAACTGCCATCCTTGCTGGCTCTCCCTCTCTCTCCCCCATAGAGGGTCTACTTGGCCCCCTGGATTGCCATGGCCCTAAGTTACAGGCTCTTGACAGTGTCCATGAGGTCACCCATAGCCACACAGAGTGCCAGCCAGGAGACTCAAGAAGTGGACTGCCCTCTCCCCTAAGCAGACCTGCACAAGGCCTGGCCAAGCTCACTTCACCTTAAAAGTTTTGGCTTCTCTCAGGGTCAATGTTCTCCCAACAAAATATTACAATTAAGTCTTGAAAGCCTGTGCTGTGGCCTGAGCCCTATGCCCACGAGCAGGACTATATCACACAGCTTAAATTTTTAAAGAGATGCTAAAAAGATCACTCTGCTCCATAGTGTGGGGCTGGAAGGACATCTGAAGATCTATCCCATGATGCTTGGGGGGACCAGCTGGCAGGGACCTCAGTGTGGTCCCAACAACAGCCTTTAAGATATCAACCACAATGGCAGTGGTGGTACAGGAAGTAGCCCCAGAATGGGCCCATTTCACAGACAGGGAAAAAGAGGCACAAGAATGCTGGGAAAGGAGATTGTTGGAAGCCAGGACTCAATCTGCTGTTTGACAGACCCTGTGCTGATCACTCTCCCTGCCCAGCAGACATGACATTTCCATAGTTACAGCTATGGGATCAGGAGCCAAAAAAAAAAAAAAAAAAAAAAACACCAGCCAAGGACCTGGTAAGAGACACTATGTCTCCCACGGCATGGAGACCTTTGTCACAGCAGGATTCACCCTACACAGGCAAGCAGAGTAAGACCTTCCCCTCTGGCATGCCAGACCACGCTGTCGTAAGCGTCTGGCCACACTACTGCCTGACCCTAAGTGACCACCAGTAAACCCCTGGCGGGGGGGGGGTGTCACCTGGCCAGGGCACTCGCAGAAGCCAAGGAGGTGGCATCTGTTTGGAGGATCCGACGGGTCTGTCTCACAGGGAAATAATCACTTCCTCCAGCCTGTGACGCTGGGCAGCACGTTGTCACCCACTGAAGGTCCCCTTAGCTCACCCAGGCTTCACAGGCCCCGCGTCTGACCTGGTTCTCTTCCCTCTGGAGTACTGAGGCTGCTCAGCACCAGAGCGGTGGATGGGGAAGCCAGCTCCTCCCCCGCTGCCAGCACAGCTGCTTTGTGCCCAGCCGCTGAGTGTCAGCGGGACAGCGTTCTGTTGGGCACAAAAGCTCTTGGTGACTTCAAAGAGGGTTTTGCAATTGTGCTATTGGCCTAAAAATTGTATTTCCCATCACTGGGGTGAAAGGCCCTCTCTTTGCCACGTTAGTCACTGAGAAATAACATCAGAGATCGAT